CATCCTCTCCCTTTCCCATTGTTGTCTATGTAACCAAAAAATAAAAATAATCTAAAAAAAAAAAAAAAAAAAGAAATTGCATAGTTCTGGCACATCATCATTGTTCAAGCCACCATCCACTCTGCTGCTTCCCCCTCCAGGCCAAAATCACATTCTGCATCTTTCTATAGCAGGTCTGGCCCATATTCCTGCATGTAGGTCCAGACTTGATTTAAGAGGAATGCCAGTTGCTTCGAGTCACTATTAAATTTCATCCCTAGAGTTAGGGTGCCTGCATTCTCTTTTCTGTGGAGGAACAGGGAGGTGGTGATGCTGGCCATTTTGGGGCTCTGTAGGTTTGGAGATTTTCAAAAGTGTCCCTCAGGAAGTCAGTAGTCTGCTCCAAGATGGCATCATGGGGGTCCAGTTTGCCCCTCGCCACTCCACATTCTCCTTTGGTGCAATGGGCTTTGGGTTAGCTCCCACTACTTTCTTAAATGTTACCCCTGAGGTCCTCTCCACCCAAGCTTCATTTTTCCCATCCCCAGCGACCATCGGAGTGTTGGTTGGTAATTGAAAGCCTCTACTTTCTCCTCTAACTCAGGATAATCTCCCCTGCTCCGTCATCTCAAAGTGGCTTCTTCCCAAGCTTCCATCTCCTCCTGCTTGCTTTCATGAACAGACAGTCTGTGCACAGTCCCCATAGTAGATAAGTGTCTCCAGTGGACCGCTATCCAGCTTAATGTCAGGCTTGTCCCAACTTGCACACTTAGGAAAGAAAGACCCTATTGTTGAAGTGAAAGGTTCACTTTTACTATAAGTTCCAACAATTACAGCATATGCAAAGCTGGATCTGAATATTCCCACCAAAACCCTGCATTTATCCCACTTCCCTGGCCCTCCCCTTGATCAGCCCCTCAGTGTCAAATCATGTTCATTTTAGATGTTTGGGGAATGGCTTTGAGGTTTAGCACCTCTTCAGTGCAGTTTCACATTCCACTCTCATGGTTCCCACTTGATCAGCTGGTTCATTCTGGATTGACATCTCTAGTCCTTATCATTCTCTCCCTTCCTCCCCCTGTCCATTTCTTACTTCCCATCCTCCTCCCCATTCCTGTGTTTATGCCAGGATGCCAGCGAAGAGAGGTGTGCTGAAGTTTGGCAGACCTGACATGTAGTCTGATTTATTGTATGTGATAGGTATGAGGCACTTCCAAGAAAGAATTGTATGACACTTGGTAATGAGAGGCATCAAAATTTGAAAATTGATCCCTTTTGCTTCTTTTCCCCCACAGTATGCAGAAGATGTGTCACTTAAAATCAAGCATATCAATATAAATTTAAGCAATATAGTTTTACTGAGCAATACTGGGAAAGAGAACCTGTTGAATTTTGGTTCTTCTGGAATAAATGAAATCAACTTTGCAGCATACCTGTCAGAGGTAAGGAGCTGACTAAACTGTTTTTTATCTGATTGGGATGGGAGAAAGAGATGGAAAATGGTTAACCCTCTAATTCTAGACACTTGACAGGGAGGTGTTTTTTCACTTTGCTTTATTCTGATAGCTATAAGCAACTGTTACCTTTGAGATCTTCTAGTCCAGTGATGGCTAACCTTTTTTGGATCACATGCCAAAAGTGGGTGGAGTGCAGGGGGGTCGTGAGTGGGAATGCCCACACCCAGAAAGCTATGCGCATGCTCCCAGCATGCATGCACGCGCGAGGAGCGCTTCCCTCCGTTTTTGGCATGCTTTTTTTCACCCTCCCAAGGCTCCAGAGGCTTTCTAGGAGCCTGGGAAGGGTGAAAACAGCCTCCCCGCCTCCCCAGAGGCCCTCTGAAGCTCCTGAAGCCTCCAGAAGGCGGAAAATGGCCCTACGGGCAACCCGGACGTTCGGGAATGTTGACTTCCAGTTTTTCTGTAGGGGCATTTTTTCGTTGAGCATGAAAAACAGCTCAACGCACAAACTGGAAGTCCATTTCCAAACTTCTGGTTTGCGTGTTGGGTGGTTTTTCGCCCTCCAGAGGCTTCAGGGAAGCCTCCGGAAAGCAAAAAACAGCCAAAAAAGAAGGCCGAAGTTAGCTGGCCAGCGCGCTAGTGCGCTGGAGCTGACAGTGCAACGCCTGGCATGTCATAACAAATAGATCTGCATGCCACCTGTGGCACGCATGTCATAGGTTTCCCATCACGGTTCTAGTCCAACTTCCAATTCCCTGCTCAAGCAGGAAACCCTATAACATTTCAGACTGTCCAGGCTATCCAGTCTCTTCTTCAAATATATACTGTATCATCAACACACAAAGTACTTTGACTCATTTTGAAAACAAAGTAACTACAGGTAATGCCTGGGTTACGGGCGCTCCGTTAGTGAATGTTCAAAGTTACGTGATAAGCGCTCCTTAGCATTTACGAGCAAGTCCTGAAATTATGAATGTTGCAGCACCACAGCAGTTGTTCGCCCTTATGAATGACCACAAAGGCTCTGCAACATTCTCCCTGCCTATTCACCACCCCCACCCCGGGTCTTCACAGGCACTTTGTGGATCTCCTCTCTGTTGTGGTTTCTTTGCCTAATTCGTTGCTTTAGATTTTTGATGCATTTGTAGAGAACAGAGGATTTCATCAGGCCTTCCCTCCATTTGCCATTTCCTTGCTGAAGCCTGCAAGGGAGATTGCGTTCTTGTAGGCTTAGGACCTTTGAAAAAAGCCTCTGTTGGCACCAGAGAAGCTTGGGGGTGGTGGGGGTGAAAGACTCCCTCTGAAACTCTGTTCCTACTGGCAAAGGCTTTTTGCAAAGGGCTGCTGAAACCTATAGGGATGCAATCCTCAAGCACTTTAGCAGCAAAAAAGGAGGCCTAGAGGTGTGCGCACAACTCTCTGCAGCTCCTTTTTCATCACCGAAACCTTCCTCAAACAGTTTAGCTGCACTTTTTGAAGACCTGTCTTTGTCCTATAAAGCCTTGGCAATCTTTGTTGTACTACCAGACTGATTTTTGCTGCTATAGACTAACCCTGTTCTCCCTCTACAAAGTCAAATGCTGCATGATTTTCTCTCTCTCTAGATTAACAAGAGCATCACCAAAATTGATTTATTGTTATATGCTAATGATTTGGAAGCAAGAGCAGATCAGCTGGTAAGTTGAACGAGCGAAACTGTCGTAAACTACTGAATGCAGAAGCTGCCTTAAAGAATGTAAAATACAGAACATTCTCTAGCAGTTTTCCTGGGCTCAGGGTTTGGAGTTACAGCAAGGTTGAAAAACGTCTTTTGAAAGTCATGGATAATGCTGGGCCCAAAATAACTAAGTCCAGTCTGCAGAACATAATTGTTTAAGAGAAAAGAGACAGGTTCAGATTAGAAAACTTGTTTTGCTTTTTTTAAGATCCCACAAGACCATCTAGAACACTTTTAGAAGAGTGTAGATTTTCATCTTAACAGGAACATGACAGTTTAGTGGAAAAAATGTTCCTGTTAATCAGATGCTGGCTTGAAATCTCATATTTTACATTTATAATGAAACTTCTCAGTAGCAGGAATTTGTACTTTTTTATCTGTTGAAAAAAATGGTTGGGTTTGCATCACATGAAAGCATCTATTTCCCTTGATAAATGGATTATTCTAAGTTGGAGGCATGCAGGCAGGAAAAGAAGGAATATAATTTTTCTTTTCTGATATTGCTGCTTTTCTGCTCTTTAATAACAGAAGAATAATTTACATGTTGGAAACTATACATTTAATTATTTCCTTGTATTTTCAGCCCAAAGGAGCATTAGAAAACGCTTTGAAAGGACATGCAAATACTATTCGGCTGATACATAACCAGCAAGTTGTTCCTTTGGAACAAGGAATGGTAAAAAAAATTAGAGTGGTATTGGAATCTGTAATGTATCACATTGATAAACTGGAACAAGTGCAGAGAAGGATTACCAAGATTTATTTATTGGTTTGCTTATTTATTTATGTGTCAAATTTATATAGTTGCCCATCTCACAAAACAAATTACTCTGGGCAGCATACAAGAAGTTACAATTACTAAATACAAAACAATTATCATTAAAACGTTAACATCTATTGAAAACAAAACTAAAACTAGGAAATATTGGGTGAAAGAAATATTGGGTGTTAATAATAACCCTCTCAATATTTCATCAGTTTCCTGGGGTCCTCACGGTTGATGGCAAATGGTGAAAAGACCTGGGTATGTTTAGCTTACAGATAAGAGGTTGGAGTGGGATATGATGACTATCTTCAGATATCAAGGGGAGAGATTTATTCCCACTTGTTCAAGAAGTGAATACTAAAACAAATGGGGCAGAGGTGGTATTCAGCAGGTTCTGACCAGTTTTGGAGAACCGGCAGCAGAAGTTTTGAGAAGTTTGGAGAACCGGTAAATACCACCTCTGACTGGCCCTGCTCCCATCTATTCTCTGTCTCCTGAGTCCCAGCTGATTGGGAGGGAATTTTGCAGTAACCTTCCCCTGGAGTGGGGAGGGAATGGAGATTTTACAGTATCCTTCCCTGGAGTGGGATAGGAATGACGATTGTACAGTATCCTTCCCATGTCATGCCCACCAAGCCATGCCCATCAAGCCACGCTCACAGAAACGGTTGTAAAAAGTTTTGAATCCCACCACTGAAATGGGGCAAAACTTCAAGGATGTAGATATAAAGTAGAATTTAGGAAGAATTTATTGAGAGTAAGAGTGGGCAATTGGCAGAACACATTGCATGGAGTGATTTCTTCTCCACTGGAAATTTGCAAGCAGAGGCTATATAGGGATGGTATATGCATGAATTTGATGATCTCATAGGTCCCTTCCAACTCTTATGATTTTGTGATTCTGTTCTAATTCGGAGTCAGCATACATACAAATTAGGTGGCTGCTTGAATAGATGGATGGATGAATGGATGGATTGATGATAGATTTTGAAATTAAACAGCAAATCCCCTCAAAAATTTAAAAATAGACTTAATTGTCATAAAGTGATTTCTAGAATAAAATAGTGCTTTTGAACCTGCTAGACCATTTATAGTCCTCATTAAACTAGAGGATGCCTTCCTATGTGAACACAGGTAAAGGAAAAGTACATATGTGCTAGACTTTCCCGACTCTAGGGGGCGGTGTTCATCTCTGTTTCAAAGCCGAAGAGCCAGTGCTCTCCGAAGATGTCTTCATGGTAATGTGGCTGGCATGACTAAATACCGAAGGCGCACAGAATGCTGTTACCTTCCCACCAAAGGTGGTTCCTATTTTTCTACTTGCATTTTTCATGTGCTTTTGAACTGCTAGGTTGGCAGAAGCTGGGACAAGTAACAGATTTAGATACTTTAGATACTTTACAGGAGCTCACTCCGTTAAGCTGCGCTAGGGATTCGAACCACCAAACTGCCGACCTTCCTGACCGACAAGCTCAGGGTCTTAGCCACTGAGCTAAACACTATTATGTTTCTATTTTTTTCTAGCACTTAACTGAGAAAGAGATTTTTAGTTTGCTTCCACAGAGGTGGGTTGCTGTCGGTTTGGCCTGGATCGGCCGAACCAGTAGTAGTGGTGGCGGGAGACTCTGCCTACCTGCCCAGGTGCTTCTGTGCATGCGCAGAAGCATCGTGTGTGCAAGCATGCATGCAAGTGCACCCAAACTGGTAGTAAAGAAATGAGCAACCCTCCTCTGTGTTTCCACTATTAAATTAATCTTTCTTGTTATACCAGCACAGAAGTCCTCTAATATAGAGGTTGCGAGCTGAATAGTCATGAAAATTGCCGTAGCTTTCTGTATGTTGCTTGATTTCAGAAGTTTTTATCCCCCCCCCATGTCTGTTGTGCTAATTTTCTATTAATGTTGCCATAATTTGTCTTGACTATCTTCCTCTCTGAAAAGCCTACTCTACTTTATTGTTTTTTCCATAATTTTTCCTGCTGAGTAATTTTGATCATTCTCAATCTCTTATTTCAAAAACTGGCTGTCAAGAAATATGTTAGAGCTAGGGTAAGTGTTTTTTCTTTCTTATAATGAAATTGAATAATTAGCTTAAGCTTGCTTCAGACCATTGGCTGTCTTTATTAAGCATGTAATTAAGCTTGACTTCAGTTGAAGCAAAGACTAAAAAGCATCAAAGACTTCACAATAAATTGCCTTTGCTAATGTTGAATGTTAGTTCAATAGCTAGAAGTATTTTTAAAAGCATCAAAGCATGTTAAAAATTCTGAACACTTGCTACATAGAAAAGAAAATAATTGTGAGATACTTTTATAATCTTGTCACCAAGACATGCAAAGACCTGTTTTAATGCTGGCCCTTTATAATTGTATAGATAAATATCTAGTAGCCAATTAGTTAAACTGCATGATACACAAACTAGTGTGGTAAGAGACAGGAAAAAACTAGAATTACAGTTGCAAGAAAAAGTATGTTCAATTCAACCATGGCAACATCTAATGTTTGTGTAATATTATTTTCAGCAGACTGTGTTTGTCTATTGTTGTGATGAAGTTCAGAGTACATTTTATGACCAATTCATGCAAAACTCCACGTAATCCCAAGGGGTTCACATACTTTTTCTTGCAACTGTATGTCATGCTATAATTGCTGAGCTGCTTCTATAACCTTCAGCAGGTTTGTGCTTTTCTTCTTGGATTGTAAAATTTAAGCATATGCACAGCATCCCATCTCAGTCCTTATTCTCCACTGCTGTTAAGAAAAAAAAAAATAAGCAGAAGAAAAATACCCACTATCTGCCCTTGGAATAATTGGGTAAATGGATGAATGTTTGCAAACCCTGAGTGTCTTAAATACAGGAGAAGAATTCTAAGAAGCAGACCAAGATGGAAATTCCCCCAACTCTCAAACCTCCACCATGCATTTCAAAAGTAAATGCTTTTTAAACTGTATTCTGCAGCACCCACTGAGTTAATCAAATCTATTTCCCAAACTACATGGCGTTGTGGGATACAAGGGCTTTCAATTATTTCTGTATTATTTGTAGCCACACTACAGAACAGCAAGTTGTGAAATCTCAAAGCCCACAATATGGCCTCATTGTTTATATAACATGTAATTCTGCACTTTGATAGAAATATTTGGATTTAAATTAGCATGTGACTGTATAAAGTGTCATCAGTGAGTTTAAAGCAGTTTCTAGCTGCCAGTGTTTCTAAAATATGCTGACTGGGAAATTCTGGGATTTGAAATCCACACATCTTAAAGTTGCTGAAGGTGAGAAACATTGCTTTAAAGTAATGCTTTCATTCACTTAACATAAACTTCTGTTCTTGCTGCAAACAAGTGCAGTTTTAGGACCATCCACCAAATAAGCATAATAAATGTATGCATTAATTATATTTTGAGTATACTTAACCAAACTAGTTGTGGTACTATTGCTGCATATCTTTCTTTTCACAATTATAACAACTCCACACATACATCCCTTTATTGTATAGTAAGCATTAAAACCAATGGCATAAGAAATGTATGGCTTGGGGAAAGGGGCTGATGTTGTGACGGCACGACGTGCGATCTTGGTGCTCTGAGATCTCAGACAATATTTCTGCCTCTGGATTCGGACCTAAACCGTCCTGCAGAGATGCTGATTGAGAAGGGCACCTCCTGCTGATCTCAGGGACATCGCAAAATCCCTGAAGGATCCAGTAATAGCCTTTTTTCCAGCAACAGAAACGCAGCTAATGAAGCTGCTGAAGTTGGGACAGCTCCGGAATGGGAAGAAAGCGAAAAGAGAAAGTGTGTCAAATTGGTGAGGAAATTTTATTATTAGAAAAAGAGACTACCCCCCCAACAAATTAAATTAAATTAAAATTGAAGATAGAAGACTGTAAGCGGCAAAATTAATGTACATTAAACTTAGAGTGTTATCCTGTTTCTACTTTTTTTTTCATGGATGGAATTTTTGCAAAGGCTCCCTATTTTTTAAATTGAATGGATTAATTTCTTCTCATTTTTTTACTTTTGCTTATATCCCTATGAGTTAAAATTTTCCTTCTTTTTTTTATAATGCTTGATTGGATTGATTGGATTGTTTTTGATCTCCATTTAAGGGTTTTT